GAGCGTCGGATTCGGTACATCGGGTTGAGGCCTAAGAACCTGCAAGTTCCTAGCTGATGTGGATGCCACTGGTCCAGGGACCACACTTTGTGAACCACTGGCCCAGATGGTCCCTCAGGCTCAGGCCCTGGTTCTCAACCCTGTCTGTGTTTCAGACTCATCTGGGAGCTTTTGAAATAATGCCAATACCTGGATTCCACACCCAGAAGTTCTGATTTAATTTGTCCAGGTAAGGCCTGGATATCAGCATTTTTAGGGCTCCCCAGCTGAGCATGATGGGCACACGGGGTTGAGAAGGGTGGCGCTCCCTCCCGCTGTCGCTCGCAGCCTCACGCTGGCCTCTCTCTCCCAGAGGTACCTCTGATGCCCTTTCTTCCTGCCCACCAGACACATGCTCTCCCTCTTCCGCCCCAGCCTGTCTCCCACACAAAGCCTTCCAGCTCCGATGTGAGAGACGCTTCTGGGCGTGTGCTGAGCAGGGCAGGTCTGCCTCTTCACAGGGTGTTACCATCATCCCCGGCCTTCCCTTCAGCCTAGTGCGCATGTGCTGTGCTGCAGGGCTGGCCCACATTTCCATCGCTGCCACCTGTTCCAGAATACAAGGCCAATGTGCCATCGCTGGCCCCTGCCCCAAGATGTGCCCCTTCTCTTCGTGGCCTGCGGGGCTGGCTTGTACCTGTGGTGCCTCACCTCGGTGGTTCCCAAGCCTACAGGCCATTGGAAGTGAGCTTCAAAAATACAGATTTCCTGGCCTCATCCCTAGAGATTTGGAGACGATCAGACATAGAAATTCAAGTTTTTTAAAGCTCCCTGTGTGACTCTGGTATCAGCTGGCTTGGGAACAGCTGCCTTAGAGCAGTGGTTTTCAAATATCTTTTCACCTCTAAAATCATACCCAGAAGTACAATATATAAGAGGAAAGTGGAGCTGGTCTGAATGAAGACGGGCTGAGGTCCCAGAGCTCTGGCTGCCCAGCCTCTTCACACCGCCCCTCCACGTCTCTGTAAACTTCCAGGAGTCTCCACGCTCGGGGAACCCTGTTTGAAAGCCACTACCTTGGGCCAGATTACCCTACACTCAGATATTACATTTATAGGATATTATATATATATATGTATATATAGGATGTATGATCAGACCTTTTGTACAGTTTCTTCTTGGTTAATCTTTTTGTTAATTCTGGATCCTAGAGGGCAGCGTGTGCATGTGTGTGTGTGTTTGTGTGTATGTGTAGGGCAGAGAAGAGGGGCTGTTTAAGCCCCCAGGGCTGATTGAAAAGCTTCAGGCTGTGGCAGGCGTGGTGAAGCAGCCGTGTGTGTGTGTGTGTGTGTGTGTGTCTGTCTGTCTGTCTGGTAACCAAGCCCTAAGACCATTTGCAGGCCCCCGAGGTCACCTGAGAGCCATGGCTTACTACACACAGGGGCTCAATCAAAGCGGGCAAGAGCGAACTGCAGGGCAGCGGAGACAGGACTCAGGCAGACAGTTTCGTTTGACCCGCAGCAGGCAGTGCGGCCAACTGCAGAGGGGAAGCCTCGCCAGTCGACACGGACGACAGATACTTGACAGTGGCAATGCCTACAGGCCCGGGGTGGGCGGTGGGGGGTGGCGCCCGAGTGGCAAAGCATCAGCAGCCTTTGAAGACGACCAAGTTGTAAGCAAGGCCTTTCCCTGTCTGGTTGGATCTCATGGGCCAGGGAGGACTTCCTGAACTTGGCTTTGATCTCCACTGGAAGAGGCTCAGACTGAGTGATTCAATGCCTCTCGGGCAGGCTGGGAACTGCCCCGGCGTTTGGAACCCCACAGTTCCTTGGGGCTCCATCTTCTAACCGGAGGGAGCACAGTCTCCCCTCAAGCACTGAATAGACATGCTCTTGGGGAAGACCCCACCCCACAGAGGTGGAATGTTCACTACAGAATCATCGGGCCCTGCTTCTGTGGCCCCGAGGCAAAGGAGACCGCTGGACCAGAGCCACTGTCAGCCCTTTAGAAGCTCCTCCAGGGTGGTGAGCTGAGTACTGGGTGGGAATCGGGGATCTGAGTGAATGACCCTGAGCCACAAGAGCTTCTTTTGCTTCTGGATGGTCACCTGGCTCTCCTGAAGCCCAGGCTGGTCCAACCGAGCCTCAGAGAGAAACAACCCTCTCTGTGCCTCTTCCTGGGATGCTCCTCGGCTTCTTCCGTAGGCCCAGGGACGGTCTCTGGTTTCCGGGGGCGGGGATAGGGGCGCTGGTTCTCTCCCCAACCCCTGATCTGGACTGGACCATTTGTCTCAACTCAGCGCTACTTGCCAATGCTTCTCTCTGTCCCGCCCCACTGCTGTCAGCCACCCCGCACAGTCCCCATTCAACAAGGCAGCTGTGTTTTCACAGACAGACTTGGGCTGGGGAAGGGCCAGGCCCTCTGCAGAGGAGGGCTTCTCCCTCGCCTGTGCCACCGAGGCCTCCAGTCCCCCACTCCAGATTTGCAGGCTCTGCTTCTTGTCATTCAGCACTTTGTAGCAGATCCTGGCAAGGACGGATGCCAGGGCTGCCAAAGGCTCGGAACTTAATCAGAGTGATCTTCCTGCCACCTTCCTCCCCTCCTCTCTCTCCCAAAGCTCCTACACAAGCAGGCGGGCTGGAGACCGGGGAACGAGAGGGGTAAGAGGCGGGGGCGCAGAAGCAAATTCGGACAAGCTCGTCTGTCTTCTTTGCGCATAGTAGGGGATGTGGGCAAAGACAGACGGATGCGCAGTGCCAGGTCAACAGCTGGGCAGAGTGGTTCAGGTCCTGAGTCCCTCTCCCGTCCCTCTGGTTTGGCACCAAGGGCTTCTCAACCCACCGTTCTGCGGCTCCCCACCCCCTCCCATGCAGTTCCCAGAGGTGGACACGAGGTGGCGGTGTGAGGACAGGGAAGGGGACAGGAGAATACCGAGCCACTAGGAAGAGGACACAGCTGACGGCCAGATAGGCTAGAAGCATGAAGAGCCAGACGCCAGGAGAAAAAGGGTCCAGGAAGGAGAAATAGCCGGGTCTGCGGCCCTGGAAATGGAAATAAAAACAAGATTCACCGTCTACATTCAGTCAGCATGGCCCTTGGGAAGGGCAGGGCAGGGCAGAGGGGATGGTGACCTGGGTCTGGCCCCAGATTGCATTGCCTTGGGTTATGGGTGATCGGTTTAAATGACACAGGGCTGAAGGTGTAGAGGGGGCTGCTCTGAAGCACTTACCCAGCCCTGATCTCAGCAAATGAAACAAAAGAACAGCCACGGGGCCTCATTACTTCCTAGGATGAAGGAGGCTCGGTGCTGGGCAAGCAGAACAGCCCTCAGTGCCCCTTATGTGCTGTTCCCACATCCTCCAGGGGCAGTGTGTTTGGGCTCTGAAGCACTTTTGAACTGTTGATGTCTGCGGTGGTGGATGGAACGCTAGCCCCCCACTCAGACACTCACCTCTTTCTCGTGAGGATGCTAATATGACAGGCATCCTTGGTTTATTTGTTTGCAGGGTGATCTCACGCACAGTGAGACCTTCTCAAACCGGTGCTGTGAGGCCCAGATTCTTATTTTCATTGTATTAGGGAAGAAATCAAAGCCCAGGGCACTCGAGAGATGTGTCCAAGGTTATAGGGCTGATCAGTGGAAGAGCTGGGACTCAAATGCACGCTTCCTGACACAAAGCCCAGGGCTTGTACCATGATGCTGTGGGAAAAAATGTTTGTCCCCAGCACAGGGACATGCTTGACTAGAGTCATGGGAGCCAAAGGATGGAGCCAGGAACAGAGAGCTGAGGACCAAGCTCCAGGGCATTTTCTGTTGGAAATTGAGATAGAATGAGAAGGAAGGAGTTCCAGAACCTGGTCCCAGTCTTCAGCTGTGTGGTCTCCGGCAAGTGCACACCCCCCCTTCAGTGTCCGTTGGAGCTGGACTAGATCAAAGGTGACACCCTGGTGACCTGCGGCCCACAGACAACTTGTTTGTTTACCTGCAGTGCTTACCCATTTTGATTAATTGCCAACATTAAATGATTGGGAGATTTCACATAAAAATCCAGATTTCTGGCTTAAAAAATGGGTGATCTGGCAACACTGGGCCTAATTCTCAACCAGCTGGAGCTGAGTGGCGGCTGCCCAGTCAAGACAGGGCCCCTCTCTGCAGCTCCCCACGGCTGCCTTGGTCTTGCATCAGGCTTACTTCTTCCATTTACTATAAAACCACTGGACCAGATGCTCCCTAAAGACCATTCTAAGTTGAAAATGATATGATTTTATGACTCCAGGAATCTAGAAAGTCCATGGATAGGGCAGAAAATCAGTATTAAGCTCAGGGGTTCTACAAACACGTAAACTTTCAAGCTCAAGGGTATACGAGTCACGGCACAGCCTACTGTCAATAACAAGGTATGTCACTTTTACACTGGGGTCCCCAGAAACACAAAGGGCAGCTGCCTATGCCAGTACTGATCTCAACCAGCTTTCTGGGCTTTCGTTATCCGAGGACAGCCAGACCATGGAGCCCACGCTGAGAAACTCTAGGTAACAACAGCTCTCCCAATGCAGCATCTAAGGAGCAGGGGAGACAACGCTGCATGGTTCCCTTGTATTCGAACAGCTCCAGTCGTGGGTGATTTTCGACTTCTCTTCTGGTGCGCTTTCCATACCTTCCCCGAAAGCCAGTAGGCAAATTCCCAAAGCACTTGGGAGTACAGTGTTTACACTCCCATCTGGGGACACAGTCCGGAGGGTAAGCTTATCCTCTGCCAATGGGGCACCTGTTCTTGGGCCCTTCATCGGTGTGACAGTGACCCCTTGGGTGGTCTGTCTGAAACTGGTTTTCTCTCCCAATAAGGCTGAGACCAGGGAACTGCCCTCTGATACCAATTGCAAGTACTCTGCCTCATGTGCATTCATGCTTGAGCTGCACAGAACACTCAGGTGATTGACTGGGAAAATGAAACAACTTGAGGGACAAAGCCCAGTAAGCAAGGGAACAGGAGAGAAATGGGGAGTGGGCCCTTTAAGTATGTCTGGTCCTATATCACTATGTAAATTCTCTAACAGGAAGAAGAACTCAAGAGCAGCAGAATGAGAGTCCCGAGTTAGTCATTCTTGTGTCCATCACAGGCTAACCATGTCTTTGTCTTCATCCTAAGAGCCACTGGCGGACAAAGGAAGACACAGAGTGAGTCCAGAAGGGGAAAGAAGGCCCTCATGATGCACATACACCTTCTGCAGCAGAAATCACTAGCACGGGCCACTCCTGGGGTCCTTGTATCCCCCAGAGCTTCTCTGGGCAAACGGACATGAATTCTACACCTGTCGCTCATGACTATTTCACTCTGTGTCTCCCAGTTGAGAGATATCAAGAGAAAAAAATCTTTCATTGTAGCTTTCTGAATCTGAAACCCCATTAGATGCTCAATGTCAGAAATCTATACCTGATTATATCACAACAAGTGAAATTGAGGAAAATGATAGCACTATTGAAAGCTGCCATATTTGGTTATGGGTGATAAGAAATGATGCACAGCCATGGGAAAAATTCCTGGAGACTCAAGTTATAAAACATAGAACATCACACAAACAAGGATCAAGACATAAACAGAGCTCCATTGGAAACATATCAGTCACGTTGGCAAGGCAACATTCTGATTCCACTTGTGATTGACTGACGCCAACCAGAAGAGCAAGGAATGGGCAGTCATTTGAGATTTGGGTCTGAGCTCGCACAGCCTAGGCTTGGGCCGAACCCAAGCTGTTTTTCTGATGCCAAAGAGAAGTATGTTACTTGTAAGGCTCTGACCGCCTACCACTTTTTTTTTTTTTTTTTCTACGCAGATGCTTTTGATTGCTTCCTTCCCCAAAGACATCTGAGTACTGGTGCTTGGGGCAAATCAGGTGTCACATGCCACAGGCATTTCTTCCTAGTAATAGATTTTCCTTAACCCAGAGGATATATGATGGTGATGCTTTTCTTCTGAAGAACTCAAAATGCTTCACTATGTTCTCTTGATTTCAGTACCCAGTTCTCCATATTGACAGATGGAAGAACTGCGACCCACGGAGATTAAGCGCCTCGCTCAAATCTCTGGTGATGGCTTCAATTTCTCTGGTGCTCATTCGTCAAGCTGTGCCGTAGGGACGCCGTGCTCTCCTTCTTTCAAATGGCAGCTGTACCACGTCTCCCTCTCCTTTTTATCTTTGCAATTTGCTCCAATAAACTCCTTAATTAATCCCATGCCTTCTTCCCAATTCCAACAGAATCTCAACCTACTCAATCTCACCCCCTTCAAGTGCTCTAAACATCATTTATTTATACCCATCATCATTTATGATGACTCTGTTGCATTTATAGGCATTTGTATTGATTTATACATGTCTCTGTTGGCTACAAGTTGGGCTGGTTCCTTCTGGCGAATACAACCACTTTGAAGGTAGATAACTGGTTATATATAGCCTATGCCCCAAATGTCTATGACACATCATGTCCTGCAGATGGGGTGGAGAATTAGATGGCACCAAAATGAAAACTGGTTCCTTGACTTTTGTACTGTCCACATCAGAGACAATGATGCTTCAGACTGACCACATCAGAGACAGCATCATTGATGCCATCTGATGGTGAAAGAGACTGGGCTGGCCACCAAAGGATCACAATCCCTGCATGGTGAGGCCCTTTGAATGTTAGCAGTGGAGCTGTCCATGGAGCTATGAAGTGGCACTAATCTCCCCTTGCCTGTTGAAAATTCCTCTTATGCATAAAGAAAATCTGTGAACTCACTGATACTTAATTCTCTATGTACTAGAAGAAGTGACATTATAGTAAGGAAGTAATTACTTTCCCAGAGTCTGGAGCCAAATGTATAAGGACACCAGAGCCAGGTAATGCAGGGCAGGTAGTGAATTAAAACACAGACTCTGGAGCCAGCCTGCCCAGGACTGAATCCTGGCTGTACCATGTACAATTATGTGTCCCTGTGCAAGTTACTTAACCTCTCTGGGTCTCCATTTCCTCTTTTGTAACATGGAGGTAGTCATAAAACCTACCTCATGGGTTGTTTTAACACACAGTACATGCTATAGAAGTGTTTGCTCCCCCTGTCTCTAATGGTAGCCACGAGTGAAGGGGGTGCAGGGAGATGGTGTATGACAAAACAGGGAACTTCCTTTTGTATTGATTCTCCCTCAGTGGACAAGAAACACTATTTTATGTCCTATAGGAGCACATGCTAAAGACGCTTGGAGGGAGAATGCCGTCTGGCCACAGTCGCTTTCCATAACTCCTAGAGTTTCCATGGGTAATAATACATAAATCATGAGGGTTCCCCCAGGGCTCTCCAGGGAAGTGATCAGGGTAATACCAGGCTCTCTTCTGGAAGGCTGGCCCTTAGAAGCTGGTGATTGCAATCTTTAGAACTAAATGGCCATTCATAGAGAGGTTTCTTTCCACTCCCACTTGTCATCAATAGCCAATAAAACACTCTTTAGGGCTAAAGAAAGTGCCAGGAGCCCGTGGATAACCTCCCTCCGTGTGTCTGCAGTGGATTGTCTTGACGATGTTTTGGTTTAGCGCGCACTTCTCACATCCGACTCCAAGAGCAAAAAAGAAGTAAAGCAATTAATTCCTCTTCACTTAAAACACCCAGATGGGTTTGTTGCCTATATAACCCACATGCTGGCATATCTATTTTCACTTTGCTGTTTGGAAATCTGGCAGGAGAAGACCTAAGCTCTAAACCTGGCCCTGACCTTGACTCTCTGAGTGACCCTAGGTGAGCCACTCAGCTTCTCTGGTGCTGTTTTCTTCTTGCAGAAAATGGGACACCACAATCAACATGAAGGGGGGGATGTGAGAACTACTAAAGTAATGTTGATAAAATCCTTGAACTTCTTGAGAGAGGAGAACTCAATAAATAACCAATATTAACATGATTATACATTCAGGGAACCATATTTCCATTATATGGGCTATCATGTTACTTAGCTTTAAGGAACAGAACTTTATTCATTTTCTGTTTTCTTATAACAGAGTATTAAGCAGTAT